TAAGTTCGGAGTTTGTGTCTAAACCAACAGTAGCCACATTAAAAGAGGGCAGTTAGGAGGGACAACTACAGTAGGGTGCTGGAGAGCAAGGGCAATGAGCTGCCTTTTAGAATGCCAGGTTTTGGTCATCAATAGCACACCAAGGAATAGCAGTTACTGCATCATCAAGGAAAATGACTAGGACTTGGGAAAAGGAGAGACATTAAGGTACAAATATAGGAGTTGGTAGTAAAGGCTCTGTGTGTAATCATGCTCTCAGGGGAGAAGAGAGGACCAAGGGCTGGACATTGAAGATGAAAAGAAGACTGATGGTCAAGCTCGGTGGCTCAGCCTGTAATCCCAGCACTTTGGGAGGCCGAGGTGAGTGGACTGCCTGAACCCATGGGTTCAAGACCAGCCTGGGCAACTTGGTGAGACCTTGTCTCTACAATAAATCACAAAAACTAGGCGGGCGTGGTGGCGTGAGTCTGTAGTTCCAGCTACTTGGAAGGCTGAGGTAGAAGGATCACCTAAACTAAGCAGGTGGAGACTGCAGTGGCCATGAGCGTGCCACTGTGCTCCAGTCTGGACAAGAGTGAGCCTCCAATTCAAAAAAAAAAAACAAAAAAACCTAATTCCATAGCATGTTTCAGTCACCCTTTTCTCCTGATTCTACACTTCTCAAGTAGTCTCATCCAAATACTGAGACTCCACCTAAATATTTTACTCCCAAACCCAAACCACCATTCATAATCTATTTCAATGACCCACGGGATCACAAATCCAACAGATGCCAAACTGACCTGTTCTTTCTGCCATCCCATTAAACTTTCTACCTTCAAATACAGTGGTATCTATTTCAGTGAAAGGATGCACTGCCCTAGAAAAAAAATCTAGGCATGACCCTTAATGATTCTGATTCTCAACTTGCCTTCTGACCCATGTCCAGTCCATTCCAGGTTATACAAATCAGAAACCATTCAAATTATGACCCAGGGATGCCATTCACAGAGACTACAATGTAAATGGGTGCTCCTTTGAGTTAATCCCTTAACGTAGTGGCCTTGAATCCATAGCCCCATCTTGCCTACTCTACTTGACAGACATTTCTCCATTCTGATCACTTCTCTCCATCCTCATGGCTAATATTCTAATTCAGGATATCAGAATCTCTTGTCTTAGTTATTCAGTCTTCTAACAAGTTCCCCTGGCTCCAATGTCTCCATGTAACTGGTTCTTCCCACAGTATCCATCGTAAAATTTGTAAAATACAAATGTCTTCTATGACTGCTTTTCTTCACCTGCATTTCTTTCCTTCCTCCCTTCCCCTTCCCTTCCTCCTTCCTTCCTTCCTTGTTGGGGTCTTACTCTATATTACCTGGCTGTAGTGCAGTGGCACAATCATGGCTCACCACAGCCTCAGCCCCCTGAGTTCAGGCGATACTTCTACCTCAGCCTCCCGAGCAGCTGGGACAACAGTCATGTACCATCATGTCCACCTTATTTTGTTTTGGGGTTTTTTTTTTTTTGTCTCGCTATGTTGCCTAGGCTGGTCTCGAAGGTCTTGAATTCCTGAGCTCAAACAACCCTCTCACCTCGGCCTCCCAAAGTGTTGGGTTTACAGGTGTGAGTCACTGCATCCGGCCCTTCACCTGCTTTTCTTACCACTACTTATCTTCCATTGTATGCTAGAAATTGAACTTGAATTTTCTCAAACTTATATTTTACATCTACTATTCCTGCTATTTCCCATGATTCCCTGCTATTACCTGCCCCAGTATTTATCACACTCTGTATCTGTTTGTATTCCCCACCACTTCACTTTAAGCTTTATAAGGAAAGAATCCACATTACTTTGTTCATTTTTGTATTTAGAGTGCCTAGCAGTATCTGACATAAGTATACTCAACAAATATTTGTTAAATTCATAAGTGAATGAATCAAATATAAATTTCATTAACATTAATTTTAATATTACCTTAAACAGAACTCTGATAAAGATCAAACATTAAAAAGGAATTGTAAAAAGGTAAAATTAGCCTTGGTGCTGTGTTGAGAAATGCCTTTTGTGAACACAGATAACGAAATTGTTGAAATGGTGAGGACTTGGGTATATTCCATCAATTTATTGAACTTAGTTCAAATAAAACAATAGACAGAGAAAGCAAATAACTGATGGGCATGGTACTTCTGTCAACAATTCAAAAACGATGATTTCAATGTGGCTATCAAGTCAAAAGATACAATTAACAAGTATATAAGTAACTAGATTTCTAGGGAAAAAATGGGGAATACTGTTTTTGTGTCTTTAAGTCAATTAATAATATTACTACTATTAATAAAAATAATTGAGCACTATGTGACAGGTACTGTACTAAATACATGTATCAGTACATTTAGTCTTTCTAAAAATCTTTGAGGTAGGCAATTGTTAATATTCTAATTTTATATAAGAAGAAACAAGCTTAAAGAGGTTAAGCAATATGTCCAAATTCACAAGCCAGTTAAGTGCAGTAGGTTGTATGCTCAGGTTATCTCATCCAAAAATGACTATTAACCACTGTGCTATTTTGCAATAAGGCAACAACATGACAGTCCCTAAAGATTGTACTTTAATCATTTTTTAGTAAATGATAATAATAATAATAATAACAACAAGAGATTATTATATATCAGGTCCTGTTCCAAACACAAAATGTGTCCATCCTATTAATCCTCATTTTATACCCATTCTATAGATGAGGAAACCAAAACATAGAAAACTAACTGGTTTAGGGCCCTAAAGTCAGATGGAACCAAAATTCAAACTGAAGAAGTCTGACTCCAGAACCTTTGGTCTTAATCACTGCATGAAACCATCTCTGGAAGAAAATCAGGTTAACATTAGAAATTTTTTAAAAATTCAAATTCCACAGTAAATCTTGTAATCTGTACTTCTTCGGTTCACGATCTCTACACAGGTAACATAAGATAAATATTGCAGCTTGGAGTAATTCAAATAGCTCTAAATTAAGAGTTAGAAGACAACACATTCTGAACCTGTTTTTTACCAATTTTCAGCTCTATAATCAAGGAAAGAAGTTACCCTCTAAGCCTCCTTTTCTTATGTTAAAAACTGCAATAACACTACCTGCCTTTCATAAGTTTCTTCTAAGAATCATGCCTTAGTATATTTGGGCTGCTATGACAAAATATATCACACCTGTAATCCCAGGACTTTGGGAGACCGAAGCAAGAGGATTACTTGAGCCCAGGAGTTCCAGACCAGCCTAGGCAACATAGTGGAACCTCAACTCTAAGAAAGAAAAAAAAATCATAAACTGGGTAACTTACAAAATACAGAAAGTTATTTCTTACAATGCTGGAGGCCTGGGAGTCCAAGATCAAGACACCAGCAGATTCGGTCTGGTGAGGGCCCACTTTCTGATTCACAGATAGTGCCTTCTTGCTGTGTCCTTAAATGGTAGGATGGATAAATGAGCTCTCTGGTACCTCGTTTATAAGGGATCTGCCCTCCTGACCTAATCACTTTCCAAGGACCTCACCCCTTAAGACTTTTTCACCTTAGTGGTAAGGATTTCAACATATGAATTCTGGGGGACATGTCTATGCAGATCATAGACATAGATACATTCAGATCATAGCAGGGTGCAAAAAATATGTAAAAGAAATTTTTTGAGCTGGGCTCGGTGGCTCAGCCTGTAATCCCAGCACTTTGGGAGGCTAAGGTGAGTGGACTGCCTGAGCCCACGGGTTCAAGACCCGCCTGGGAAACTTGGCGAGACCTCATCTCTACAATAAATTTTTTAAAAATCAGCCGGGCGTGGTAGCGCGTGCCTGTAGTTCCAGCTACTTGGAAGGCTGAGGCGGAAGTATCTCAGGAGCCCAGCAGGTCGAGGCTGCAGTGGCCGGGAACAGCCACTGCACTCCAATCTGGGTGACAGAGTGAGACTCCAACTCAAAAAAAAAAAAAAGAAATTTTTTGCCTTTGGAATGCTTTTCTATATATCAAAATCAGCTTATTAACGACTTGTAAAAAATTCAATCATAAGCTATGCATAAAAAGCTAAATTTCATTGTCTCTCTGTATACCATAATATAATTAGCAGTGAATAAATAAACTCTATCCTAAATGTACTATAAAATGTTCAGACTATACAATTGATGGTCATCTCAACAATTTATACCACAAACTAGGGAAATTATCTTTGGAAATAAATTGTGATTATTTTTCAAGCAACTCATGAACATAGCAACATGTATAATGTCATTAAAAATTACCAACAGTATAAAGTTTTAAATGTGACTGTCTTATTAATGTTGATGACAACTATATGACAGTGACCTAATACTTGTTAACAGCTTGATAGTCTCTAAGTTAGGTTGGTTTTACCAGAATTTACAGTATACCCAAAATTTGCTAAGTTGTTACTTTGAACATTTTGTAAGTATCAACTGAGCACCTAACTACCTACATAGCCAGGTACTATGCTGTGTACCGGGATGAATGGAGTAATAGCCCTGCTTTGAAAAGCTTACAAACGCCACATTTATATGCAGCACATACACATAAGCTATACACTAATTACTACTTTAAACATCCCTAGTTTTAAAATTGTTTACATCTTGCTTTAGTTCATCTATCTTTAACAGATATACCACAAGGATATTATGAGGAAAAAAAACCCTGCGATATTAAAACTTAAGGATACTGTTCCTCTTCAATTTAAATTAAGTCTCCATTCAACATAAATACTAAAAACACATATCCTGCAACTAAATAATGCTGTGTTAGTCAATTGGCAAGATATTAAAAAGATTTTATAAAGAAACAATCTCACTAACTACTGGACCACTCTACAAAGAGAACCTTATTGATATGCTAATGAAACAGCCTTGTCATGTGGTCACAAAAATTCATGCAAACATAAAAATGTTACATATATGGGGCACTGAAGAATGTTCTAAATTTAACGTTTAAAATTACTTATAAAATAAAATATTGATCCTTATAAGTATACCTCATTGTTTATATTTTTATTTGCAGAAAAAGACTTATAAATAGCACACCTAGATACATTTTTCACTAAATCACAGTTCACTTTATTAATTTATGTAAAAAGATAGTCCTTTCCTGTATGATTACATTTTCTTAAAAAGCAAAACAAAACACTTTATTCCCAGTAAAAAAATTTACATATGAAAGTCAAACACAATTATTTCAATAAAAATGAAAATCAACCACCATATCTCTTCTTGAGTTCTTCAACAGAATTATCCTTCAATCCTGATTTGTCTATGTGATTGAATAATGCATGTGCAACTGAAAAAGAAAAAAAATCTCTATTTTAATCTCATTTTTTAAAAGCTAAGCAAAATGTAAATTAAAGGGAGTAACCTGATCTGTCAAACAAAAACTTTTTATATTTTATAGCAATAAGAGATTACATATAAATTATAATTCAGATATTTAAAAAGGCAACCCCAGAATCAAAAATTTTATAGCAATTAAACAATGTTTCTTACCAGATTATTTTCTTCTAGCAGTACAAAATTTCCCCTACATCCTCAACATTAATCTTGCAGATTAAACTTAACACATTCTTTACTACCTTAAATTTTTTCCCCTATCTGTGTAACAAGTGTACTTTGATTTGCTTAATATTTTTATTTCAATTAACAAAATAGCTAATTGAAACAAATCATTTTATTTTTTAAAAAGTTATCACTACTGTAAATTGGAAATTAGCAATAACATCTACAAAATCATGTTTGATGGACTAGTTATATATTTTTATATTACATAATAAGACATGTAACTAGTAAAGATTAAACAAAGATTTGTCTATGAATCATATAAAATCCTCTTTCTTGTCACTAATTGTTCCACACCCAACACTATGGAGAACATTGTTATAGCTCATGCATCTCAACATTAAAACTAGAGGACTAGGAAACAGTTATTAATGATAATGGAAATGTAAAAGGTAACAGCAGCTAATATTTACTGAATGCTTAGTTAAATATCAGAACCTTTCTAAGTGCTTTGCAAGTTTAACTTGGCAGACAGTGGAGACCCAGCCAAGACAGACCTGTTGGTGAGCCAGCCTCAAAAGCCCACTCATATTCTTAGAGAACATCCTGAACTTATCACATTAGTGACAAGAAATCCATTCATTCAACACATTACACCAAGAGCTTCAAGCTCCGAGGCCTAATGAACAGGCAGACAAAATTCCTGCTCTCATGGAACTTTCATTCTATCAGAGAGGGAGAAATAATAAGCATATACGTGAAACACTGTCAGTTAGTTCTGTAAAATGAAGACAAAGCAGGATGAGAAGAGAGGGTGATGGGGGTGGTGGGAGGCAGGCAGTTGTTTTAACTAGGACAGGTGAGGGAAGGTGTCTGAGGTGGTGACGGGTGAAAACTGAAGAAAGCGAAGAGGCAAGCAAGGTGAAGATATGCGGGAAGATACTCTAGGATGAGGGAACAGTCAAATACTAAGTCCTCAAAGCCAAAATAAGTGTGGCAATTTAGTATATTAAAAATATATAAAGTCAGTATGATGGGGGCAGAGTGACTGAAAAAAAGCAGGAGAAGAGGAAGTCAAAACATAATAACTAGTAATACTTTTCAGGGATTTTGGGGAATGTTTTTGGTTAACTAAAGATAAAGTAGAAACTTTCGGTTTAAACCTTCACTATTTAAAAAAAATCCTGTAAATTATATAATGTATAAATATCTTTCTTATTGATTCATTCAATGTCACTGCTAGGAAGATAAAGAAGAAATAAGAAAGGGAGCCCAAGTATGTTTACTACAGGAGATAGCAGTGGCACACTCACGGCCACCGCAGCCTTGACCTGCTAGACTCAGGAGATCCTTCTGCCTCAGCCTTCCAAGTAGCTGAAACTACAGACACACGCCACCACACCCAGCTAGTTTTGTGTGTGTGTGTGATTTATTGTAGAGACGAGGTCTCACCAAGTTGCCCAGGCTGGTCTCGAACCCCCAGGCTCAGGCAATCCACTCGCCTCGGCTTTACAAAGTGCTGGGATTACAGGCTAAGCCACCACGGCCAGCCATCACATCACTTTTAATTCTTCAAACTCAGTTTGCTCTTTCCTGCCCCTGAAACTCTGCATCTGTCATTCCCTTAATCTAAAACTCTCTTTCCTAACCTTTCCTCTTAACTCTTGCACTTCTTTGAGAATCTGGCTGAAATCAAACAGACTTAAGAATGAAATAAAATAGACTCAGAACGGGTTAGACCTCCCATGTGCCCTGCTCAGTTACATGGTCCTGTGGTTTTGATACTTGATGTACTCAATGACAATGACAACAGGAGCTCAACCATTGTGCCATCTTCTGCACTTTTCTGTAAACTGGAAACAGGGTTGCCCGGATTCAAATCCTGGGTCTGGCTTCCCAGTTATGTGACTTTGGTCAAGTTCCTTAACCTCTCTATGCCATCAGTTTCTTCCTTAGCAAAAGGAGAATGAACACTGTACCTACATCTCATAATACTGTCAGGACTAGCAAATATAATTTCAATTTTTCTTAACTTAATCGTAATTCAATTCAATTATCTTAATTTTAATTATACATAACTTATACAGTCAGTAAATGTTTGCTATCATTTGTTGAATGAATAAAAGAACACAGAAGAATAAATAGACATGGAAAAACTTTTCTTCTTAGAACTTACTCTTTTTTTCAGTTTCTGACATAAACATCACTGCCATATCAAACCTTTTTAGCTCAGAAAGTCTCTGTAAGATTTCAAGGATGAGTGATGGGTTTTCTTTCCTGAAATAATCCAAATATTAAAAAAAAATGATCAGTCAAAAGTAGCTCATTTAATTGTTTACTGACACAGTATTTAATTATGCATAAATGAGGTCATTTTCCTTTTTTCCTTGGATGCTATCTATATTTTTAACTACCCAAATGAAAACATTTATGAAGTCAACTGAAGAAATCATAATATTCTTAAATAAGAGCTTAACACTGCTGTTATTCTGTTGTAATGCTGGCTACTTCCACTCCCCACTTTTCTCTGCAAAAAAACTAAGCCCTTTTCCCTTCCTTTTAAGTTTTCCCTTTTTATTCTCTATATTTGTCATCTCTTTACAACTGCCATAATGATAAAATTTACCGGAAAGCTAACTGCTATATATATAATTAATATCAAAGAGAATAAATTCCCCAAATCACTAGAAACAGCATAGCATTACAATATGAGAATACAGTAAGTTTTCCCTTGATGTCTTCATCAGTTCTTGGAAACTGCAACTCTTAAGTCAAACAATATACTGTATGTGGTAGGAACTTAACTCTTGTTTATATCAAAAGGCCTATGGTAAAATTGGTTTTCTTATATAATATCTTGTTTCACTTAAAGTCATAGTTTCCAAGAAACTATCAATGACGCTGAGGACTTACTGCATAACTAAAAAAAAAATCCAACTTACTCAATGTAAAAGTCATGCAGAATTTTAATGATTTGGTTGAATACATCTGGATCCAGATTTTTGTGAAACAACTTAGAATACAAGGATGGTTGAATTTGCTTGGAAAAATATATAAAGAGTTAGAAAATTAAATTATGGCAACATATCACATATCAAAAATTTATATAATTCATATAAATTGATACAATTGTGTAGGTAAAAATAGTAAAGAATAACTACAATGCATTAGCATTTAATGAGTAATAACAAAGTCATATTAAAATGTAATTATGATAGAAGAATGAAAGTCTGAGGAACCGTGAGATAACTACTCTGTTGTAGCCAGAGAAAAAAACTTATGAGCAGAAGAGATATGCATCACCCTAAGAGAGACAGAAAACTTGAGAGGACTCTCAAAAAGCAATAAAATAACAAGAGATTTTAAAAAGTAGAATTATATGAAGTAATATACTTGGAAGTAATTGTATGGAAGTAATTGTATAGTGCATAATTATATGGAAGCGCTGCTATCATTACACATGAAAAAGACTATGCTATCCATTATCTGCTAAATTTCATATGATCTGATTATTTTTCTTGGAGCAAATAAAAGCACATTTTCAGAATGATGGCCTAATATAAGTAAGCACTGCTTAATACAAAGAAGGCACTCTGTATTTTAGCTTCCTTTCCTCATCTTGAAAAATAAATAATTAAGCTTAAGCTATAATATATAAAATTAGATTAAGTTATGTTAGATATTAGAATCTGACACAGAATCTATTTCCAAAGGAGAATATCTTGGTTGCAAATATCTTAAAACAGTCTGGCCAGGGTGATATAAGTATCAGGCGAGAAATAAAAGTATTTCCTAGAAGCATGTAATACAAAAAGGAAATATAGCACTACTATTATATAGTGACAAAATAAGTTATTTGACTCTTTACTTGCAACGGAACTACTAGCTTTCTCTCTCTTACCTTTAAATACTGATACAACATATTTGGAGAACTTTTCAGTTGTCTGAAATCAGATTCAAGTTGAAATGAGTTTGCAGGAATTGGAGGAAGAATTGTTGTGACAAATTGAACAGGTATTTGTTCTCTCTCTATAGAAGTCTTATCACCAAAAGACTGACTGACATCCTGTTTCAACTGGGCTTGGGGTCTGAAATATTTCAGAGGCATCAAACAGAAAGAACCATAAATAGTCACAGCTCAATAAAGAAAACATCAATAAAGATTTTACAATTTCTGACTTAATTAATATTACCTATTTGTATTCTACAAGTATTACATTCTTTCAGCTTATAAAATATGTACATTTTTGGCAAAGCAGATTATGCACTTGCAAATTTTTACATGCTGGATCTGTAAATGACTATTCTCATCTGCTAGACAACTAGCTTGGCTACCTTTTGGGTATACCATTCCTATGTATTTCAATTAATGTGTCACACAGAGTCACAACTCAGCCTTTCAGAAATCTGAATGATCAGTTTCAAGGTATTCCAAAAAGGAAGAAATACTTTTTCCTTAGGGAAAAAATAAACAAATGAATAAATAAACAAGCAAGCTGCCTATTTAATATTTTCCCACAATCGGTACTATCATACTATCATTTAAAATGAACAAAATCAATTTGTTCAAGACAATGTCCTTATCATCTCTAAATTCCCCAAAATGGTTAAAAAAAAAGTGATCACTCTTTAAGCTAAATCTTACAGTAAGTTCAAATAAAAAGGAAAAAATAGAAAAAACTAGAACCTGAAGTGAGGCAATTAAAAAACTGAGGGTGATGAGTACAAATAAGAAGCTTCAGTCATCAATTTTCCAGTGGAATTACCACCATTCTATGAGTATCAGGTAACAGTATGTCTACTCACTGCAGGGTTGAGGTTTCACTGATTTCTTCTATTTTCAATACTTTTGCTCTTGGAGTATCACTTGTGGGCAAAAGGTCATCTTGGCTTGAACTCTTCTTACTTGCAGAGCCTGCGGCTGCTATCACATTTGCTGAATTAATAGGATTACTCTCTGGAGCATCAGCAGCAGTGCTATCTGGCACATCAATAGTCTGTATCAAATTACCAGTTTCTTCAATAATAACCTTCTTGAGTGGTTTCTAAAACAATTAAAATCAATTATTTAAAGCAACATATTAAAGGTTTCCTATTTTAGGGTCACAAGTTAAAGGCTGCAGTCTTCTTACAGCTAATATTCCAGTCACAAATAAATTCAATGTGGTAGTTAGACAGACTTAGAAAGTCTAGAATACAAAAATGAAAAGCTGTGCACAGCACCTATTCTAGGCAGGTCTACATGGGGGTGAGAGACATATACATGTAAATAATCAGAAGTCAATGGGTAGTATGAAAGATGAAAGAACAGAATGCTAAGAGAACACGAAGGAAGATACACATTTGGCATTAGGAAAGTCTCACAGGAAAACCACACAGGGATGGCAAAATGGACAAGTACAGCAGGGCAGTAGCGGAAAGAGCAGTCCGGTGGGGCTGGTGGCTGGTGGCTGGTAGGAGGGCAGGGGGGAGTGGTGGGGATGAAGCTGGAGAGGATGCTTGAAGACAGTTTATGAAAGGCTTTGTGTGCCATGTCAAGGAGTCTGACACTATCCTAGAAGCAGTAAAGCAGAGAGGCAACCACACTGACAACAGTACTGTGGGCTAACTGAAGGCAAGCAGATCAAGGGCAGACAGCAACCAGCATTGGTAGGGGACAGACTAACAATAAAACCTAAGTACATTCTCTAAATAATAGCAGCTACATGAAACCAGCCCAGGATTAAAAGTCCGTCAAATAATATTCACAAAGTTGGTAAAAGTTAACTATATGGTGTTCTGGTTTAGTAAAATAAATGGCATTTACTGTTTATCTCAATCACGACAAGTGTCATTTTCATCACTCCAAACACAGAAATACACTGAGGAACACCAGGGATGTTGAAAATTTAAAAAGTACAAAAAGCTCCATCAAAAATTTACAAACATTGATTAACAACTGCAGCTATATACTTCTATGGTGTATGTTTGAAACTTGATTTTTTAAAAAAGGAAAAAACTTTCCTCCATATACTCTAAGTATGCATTCCAACTGTATAGTTGAATAATTTAAAATATAAAATAGAAATGCAAATATAAAAATGACTGACACAGATATTAAACCCAGTGCTAAAAAAAAGACATTCTGTTAACACAGCTAAAATAAGATCTAATGATAACAATTGAATGTTACTAAATAAATGTACCAAAATGAAAAAGATATAAGCAAATTTTTAACAGAATCCTATAAAAAGTTCTGTTCTAAAGAATAATCATGTTAAGATCTTTGCTTTGCTAAAACTATACCAGCAACAGTTTTCTACCAAGGTATTAAAACCAAGAATGAACACGTTAGTGTTAAATCCTTTCAATGACAACAGATGTGTAAATATGATTCAAATTTATAAACTTCCTAATGGATGGTCTCTGTTAAGTGTAGACCTGTGGGTAGTAAGCCACAGAGGGTCACTTAGATGAGAGCTAGGAGGAACTGGGGAGAAGAGTGACAAGCTGATAACAGGAGTAAATCATACAAGACACAACTATAGAAAGAAAGGACTTAAGAAAATATGAACGGTTCATTTCTTTTTTTAAAATTATGACTCAGAAGCATAACATTATTTAGCTCTATGTTGTGACCATTTCTTTTTTTTTGGAGTTGAAGTCTCACTCTGTCATCCAGGCTGGAGTGCAGAGGCACGTTCACAGCCACCACAGCCTCAACCTGCTGGGCTCAGGTAATCTTTCTATCTCAGCCTTCCAAGTAGCTGGAACTACAGATGTGCACCACCACACCCGGCTACTTTTAAAAAATTTACTGTAGAAACAAGGTCTTGCCATATTGCTCAGGCTGGTCTCAAACCCTTGAGCTCAGGTGATTCTCTCATCTCCACCTCCCAAAGTGCTGAGATTACAGGCGTGAACCACCACACCTGGCCTATTGTGGCCATTTCAAAAAGCATTAAAGAAAATAAGAACAAACAGAAAGGAAGAAGAGAAAGACCAAACAGAAAAGGTAAAGTTCTGACATGGAGAAAGAGAAAAATGAAAAAAAGAAAAGCGAAACAAAGTATTTTTCACAGAGATTAAAGAATCAGGAAAAAGTTCATTTCCCATCACTCTGTGGGGAAACTCCAGGTCCTAATCCATCTACAACTCTGCTCTTCCACACCCTCTCTTGGAAGGTTTACCAAAAATGCTTCCCAGCTGCCGGCACTTCAAACACAGGCTAACTGGCCTAGACTCTCATCTGAATAACCCTAGGACACTCTACTTTTTGAGGTCTTCCTTTCTTTCCTGACCATTTTCCCCAGTGAACAGATGGTCTCACAAACATGTGACTAAAATGGAAATTAAACTTGTTTCACTTGACCTCGCTTTAGTATTTGTGCACATTATTTCCTTTGATGTAAACTAATCTGTGAGTTATTCTCAATTTAAAGTAAAAAGGTAAGGATAACACAGGGATTAGGTAATTTGCTCAGGATTTCAAAGTTTAGCCGGGTTTGGTGGCTCAGCCTGTAATCCAGCGCTTTGGGAGGCCAACGTGAGTGAATTGCCTGAGCCCGCGGGTTCAAGACCCACCTGGGCAACTTGGTGAGACCTCATCTCTACAATAAATCAAAAAAACTAGCTGGGTGTGGTAGCGCACGCCTGTAGTTCCAGCACCTTGGAAGGCTGAGGTGGAAGGATCGCCGGAGCCCAACAGGTTGAGGCTGTAGTGGCCAGGAGCAGCCACTGCACTCCAGTCTGGGCAACTGAGTGAGACGCCAACTCAAAAAAAAAAAAAAAAAAAGATTTCAAAGTTTATGAAGTAAGGCCCAAATCAAGTCTTAAAGGCATTATACCAAACTACAACCTTCTACTTTTAAAATGCCCACTTTTTTTTTTCCATAGACCTACTATAAAAATAAATAATTTTTCCCTTCTCTACTAGGATACTAATTTTGTGTTGGATCATTTACAGAATGATTTACCCTCAGCTCTCTCATTTCACCAAGGTGTTTTGTTTTGTTATACTGCCACAAAAGATTGAAATTCATGCTGCATTTTTACGATTAAAATAAACTCATTTTTTAAAGTGAAGGAGAAAAGATTCCAAAATCTTATAAAAGCTGTTTTATGATCTATTGGTCATAGGATATTACACATATAGATATCTGACTTACCACATGGCAATGTCTTTAGAATTATGGACAGCAATGTCCAATGAAGGCTTCTTTTAAACTTGTGAATTACTTTTTGTATAGAAGTCTTACAAAAATGCAAAAGTTCAAACTACGCTTAATTAAATAGTTAATCACTTTTACTTACTAATAAGAATAGAATAGTAAATGAATATAACGTGAAAATGAACATAATGTATGAAAGCATCTAGATGTATGTCTGGCACACAAAGCACACAAAACCAGTATTAGCCGGGCTCGGTGGCTCAGCCTATAATCCTGTGCCTTTGGGAGGCTGAGGTGAGTGGACTGCCTGAGCCCACGGGTTCAAGACCCGCCTGGGCAGCGAGACCTCACCTCTACAATAAATCAAAAAATCAGCCAGGCGTGGTAGCGCATGCCTATAATTCCAGCTACTTGGATGGCTGAGGCAGAAGGATCGCCGAAGCCCAGCAGGTCGAGGCTGCGGTGGCCGGGAGCGGCCGTCTGGGCCACAGAGCGAGACTTCAACTCAAAAAAGAAAACAAAAAAACAGTATTATCCAAGAATACAGTCACAATAAGTTCACTTGAAAAGCATTCAAGTAAAAAGTCTTCTATTTGCTACTAATATGAAATACAAAAGTAACAAAACAAACTTTGTCTCACTTTTTTCCCTTATACAAGGAGGACAAATACGCCTGCTCTCATGTTCTTAAAAAATTGTTATTTCTATCAAAGGATCATTCACGCCATGCATAACAGTTACTTCTAGGAGGCAGGAAGAGAATGTGATCAGTTAGGGGCACATAGACTTGTTTTTTGGAACTGATAGCTTTCAGTTTTCTGAAATGATTGGTGGTTCCATGGGTGTTCATTTTGTAATCATTCCTTAAATCTTGTCTTGTGTGTTTTTCTGCATGTATTTTATATTTCATAATTCATATATAGTATATTAAAAGTACTATGTAAATGTTAGAAGTTAGGCTAGTCACAACATAAACATATTTGCCTACAATGAAATCAACTTTAAAGGTCTAGCATATCCCAAACTGTTAAATTTTTTGTTTTGTTTTGTTTTGTTTTTTTGAGGTGGAGTCTCACTCTGTCACCCAGACTGGAGTGCAGTGGCCGCTCCCGGCCACCGCAGCCTCGACCTGCTGGGCGCCGGCGATCCCTCTGCTTCAGCCTTCCAAGTAGCTGGAACTACAGGCGCGCGCTAACACGTCCAGCTGATTTTTTTTTTTTAATTTTATTGTAGAGATGAGGTCTCACCAAGTTGCCCAGTCGGGTCTCGAACCTGTGGGCTCAGGCAATCCACTCACCTCAGCCTCCCAAAGTGCTGGGATTACAGGCTGAGCCACCGAGCCCGGTTGAACTGTTAAATTTATACCAGCTACTCTTTCTTTTCCAATATTGCAGGAAAAAAAAAAAGAACAAGAAAAAAAACTGGCTTTATTGGGTTTAATGAGAATACAGTACACCTAAAACAATGTGCAATGTATATATTTAAGGATAATTTTGTCCATACTCTTTTTTTTTTTTTTGATGGAGTTTCATTCTGTCACCCAGGCTGCAGTGCAGTGGCATGATCACAGCCACCGTTGCTCAACTTGCTGGGCTCAGGTGATCCTTCTGCCTCAGACTTCCAAGTAGCTGGGACCATAAGCACACACCATCACATCTGGCTATCTTTTAATTGACTGTAGAGATGAAGTCTTGCCATGTTACCCAGGCTAATCTAGAACATCTGGGCTCAGACAATCCTCTTGCCTCAGCCTTCCTAAGTGCTGGGATTACAGGCATGAGCCACTGCACCCGGCCTTAGATTTTTGTCTTAAGTACTGATTTAGATCTAACTCCTCCTGAGATACAAGAGTAGTATAATAAAAACCCAACCTCAGAAAAGAAGTTATAAAAAATACAAAACACCTTACTACTATAAACTGTAAAACTGCTTAAAATTCCTTTAAGAAAAAATATAGAAATATTTAAATTTATAATGTAAAGTAAAACAGGTAATTTACCTCAGAACTCTAAACAGCTTAATGTTCCCTAATTTTACTATGTCAGTAATCCTAGTATTTTTTAAAGATTCTAAAAAATGGTCTTAGGAAGAGCTCTCAATATTTATTTTAAGTGTTGAATAGAACAGTTTGTTTTCAATTGTTAATATAACATATTTAAATGGCAAGAATGAAGTGCTTTGCTTACAGCTGATCCAAGACGAGGTGGATTATCAACAGGTTTTATCACATTTTGTCTTTGTGTGGAATCGAGAAAAACATCATCCCAGTGTCCTTTCTCAATTAATTCCTAAAAACAAATTCATAATCATAACTATCAAAATATTCTCAAGCTAATTATACAACAAATAAATATATTTGTTTCAGAAAATATGACCATATTTTGGAGAAAAGGATACATTACCTTTTTAATTTTGGAAAGTTCAGTTACTGCTTGCTTATTTCCAGGTTCCAGAAGTAAAACAGTTTCAAAATCTAAAGCAAATTTTAAAAAAAATATTACAAGTAGTGAAAATATTTTATGACGTTCAAGACACAACACATTTAGTTAGTAATCTCATTATCATCGCAGGACATTTACTGAGGATACTAAGAAGCAGGCGAGCAATAATAAGAACTGATATTTATTGAGTGCTATTCCAGTTTTTTTAAATGAATTTTCATGTAATTCTCACTACAACCCCACTTTATAGATGATAAAAATGAGGCCTTGAGGTACTCTAACTTACCAGAGCTCAGAATGCTAACAAATGACAAAGTAACTCACCAAATGTAAGAAAAGAATCTAGAAGAATCTAAGAGAATTCCATATAATGAAATATTACTTTAGCCTTAAAAAAGGAATAAAACATAGATGAACCTTGAAGACATTATGCGAAGTTAAATAAGCCAGACACAAAAGGACAAATACTGTATGATTCCACTTATACGGGGTATCTAGGAGAGTCAAATTCATACACACAGGAAGTAGAATGGTGGTTAGCAGGGACTGACGAAAGAGGAAAATGGAGAGTCATGGTTTAATGTGTACACAGTTTTAGAATGGGATAATGACAAAGTTCTGAAGACGGATAGTGGTGATGGCTACACTGTGTAAATGTGCTTAATGCTACTGAACTACACACTGGAAAATGGTTAAAATAATAATGTTACATTTATTTTACCACGACAAAAAAAGACACAATCATGGGCTATGATTGCTAGGCTACTAGACAAACTGCCAGATTTTAAATGTACATATCAGAAAAGAAAAAAGACTGAAAACCAATTATCTAAGTACTGATCTCAAGAGGTTAGAAAAACAGCAAATTAAACCCAAAGAAAGTTGAAGGAATAAAATAAAGAGCAGAAATAAACAAACAAAAAGAAAATCAAGTTGGTTCTTTGAGAAAACATAAAAGCAATACCTAAAAGACAAGACCATGAAAAAAATAAGAAAAAAACTAAAATCAAGAATAAAAAGGGACACCACTGCAGATCTCACATTAAATTCTATCCCCTAACCTGCTGATTCCTTCCTTTTCAATCTAGTTCTTCTCTTGCTTTTTCTTTTCTCTTCCACAATTTACATTTTTCATTAACGTTGACTGGCAATAAGCCAGTTTACTGTATACTACTAAAGTAAAATATACTTTAGTACACCATGGAATCTGAATTCCTCCAAACCCATTCATGATCTCAATGGTAGAAAGAAAACATACTGCTCTAAATTCAGTATCCCTAGACCACTGGAAAGGTACATAAATCTCTGCTTCTTATAACCTGGGTGTCTCATCAGGTTGAGTGAGAGCCAGCTGTTATAACAAGTCTTACCTTGTTTCGCCTCATTTAGCTTTCCCAAAAACGTTCTTGCAGTTCCTCTTCTGGCAAAAGCTTTAGAGTACGAGCCATCTAATAAAATAGCTTGTGTGCAGTCTTTTTCTGCTTCTTCATATCTATTGAACATGACAAAATTACTGACTGAAAAACTGCAGCTTGTAGAAAAACTTCATATAAATCAAGTTTCTAGTTTTAAAACTTGTGTATAATTTCAATTACTAATTCCTAAATCTATGTTTGACGAGAAGGACTATTTAAAACATTTTTTATTCTTCCCCAAATCTTGGAATCATTTAAGGAAGGGGAAGGTACCAGATTAAGAGAAAGTCAGAAAAGAGATTGCAAGGACAGAATTAATGACAGAAAAGTATGAGTAGAGCAGACAAAAGAATACCACTACAGTTACCTGTGCAACTCCTCCCCAGCCCTCAGTACGCACAGTTACTACGTTAGCGTTTTAACCAGCAATAATTTTCTAACAAAACCTCACTAACTTTTACCCATAACATACATTCCATATCCACAGGAAAAAAAAAACCCATACAAAATTTAGAACTCACTACATGATAGCATATCTTCTGATACTTTATCAATTCTACTCAGCCATGCAACCAGCAATCAATTCAAACTGAATGCTCTATGAAAACAAAGAGCTAAGAGGAGCTTTAAAAAAAAAAATTCAATAACAAAAAACTTGAGAACTTCCAGTATATTAATATGACAATAAGTTACTATTTATTTATCAGGAGTAATAATAGTATTGTACTTATGCATAAAATAGCCTTTTCTTTAGGGGTGAGATATCACACTGTCTATAATTTGCTTTACAATAAATCAGAGGAAAAAAGCTGAAACAAATATGATCAAAAAAGTGTGGCTTGTTAAAACTGTGTAACAGCCTCCATCTGGTGAAGAAAACTTCTGATATTAAGTAAGAATCTAAAAGAATTAAAAGAATCTAAAAGTTATTTTAATTTAAAATATACTCCGCTAACTTAGTATAATACACTCTACTAATGTGATTATAAACTAAAGCAATAAAATTAATTAATTAGAGTTCTCATCAATTTTATATAATCTGTTACCTATAAGGTAATTTCAAACCAAAAAATGTAGATCTTACAATTTTTAAACCAATGTGCAATCCCTCAATAGCAAAAAGAAAAATTTTCATAAGCTAGCAAGAGATGCAATTATCTTTACTTGGACTAAGGAACAAAAGAATATAATTCTAGCAGTTTCTATTAGTTCATATGAGGCTAAATACATAACCAAAATTCACTTCTGTGACAGGAGTTCCTAACCTGAGATCGTCTGGAAGATCTGAACACTTGGTTGGGAAAAAAATTTTTATCATTATTTTCATTAAACTTTAAATAAAATTTAGTTTTTCAAATACAAATGTAGAGACCAAACAGTACCTATGATTTTGTCACCAATAAAAATCACAGATATTTTCATATCACATCATGAGTGTTAGTGATATCTCAAAATATCTCTTATGGTCACCATTATTTCAGAATTATGAAAAATGTAATCTGCTTATCTGCAAGTGATTGCATTGTCTGGTTTATGGACACTCTTGTAACAAAGTAGGCCAACTACTGGGCAACTCTACTACTAGTAGTTATTCGGATGTCAAAAAGTTAAGTCATGTGTTATCACAGTGACAACCTAATCATCTGTTACTTTAGGTATTCCCTATCCACACTTGTTTGTTGATCAATATGTGGAGGATGTGCCAAAGGTCATCCCAAAATCTACTGTCCTTAGGCAAACCTTCACATTCACATCTTTAAAATTTTGTTTTAACTTTTAACTTGCCTCTATTTTAAATGTAGTTTTTCGTTTTGTAGTGTCGATAAAAAAGCACATATACTACTGTACCACAAATATTAACATTTTCAAGTCTATGTTTTGACGTAATTGGTCTCCTTTATAACTCCAGTTGTAGTTATGCATTTAAAAATATTTTCCTGGCTGGGCTCGGTGGCTCACCCTGTAATCCCAGCACTTTGTGAGGCCGAGACAGTGGACTGCCTGAGGCCAAGGGTTTGAAACCGTCCAGGCAACTTGGTGAGACCTCATATCTACAATAAATCAAAAATTAGCCGGGCATGGTAGTGCACGCCTGTAGTTCCGCCTACTTGGAAGGCTGAGGCAGAAGGATCGCTGGAGTCTAGCAGGTCGAGGCTGTGGTGGCCAGAAGCGTGCCACTGTACTCCAGTCTGGGCGACAGAATGAGGCTTCAACTTAAAAAAAAAAATCTCCTGCGAAGGGTTCATCATGCAGCCAAAGGGGTTAATGGCACTTTAAAAGTTTTGAATTTCTATTTATAATATTTATAGGCTTTTTAAAATTCTGGCACTAGTGTGTGAAGTACTAGAGATACAAAAATGTAAGTCAAAGTTTCTGCCATCCTGTATTATTATCCTACTAATTGTCCAACTTGGGCACATTCAAAAACAGCTAGTCAGTATCACAGGACCAAATTTGGGTGTATATATATGTATATACGTCATTAACCAGCAGTCTCAATGACAGTAGATCCCTTTTGTTATATACAAAGGGGACCCTCCAAAAAACTGGAATTTAATTATAAAAAACTGTGTATTCTTACATGTTTCAATTTCAGTGACTTTCAAAGTACTCTCCATTTGATGCAATATACCTGTCAAAATACTTTTTCTACTGCTCAAAACAGTTTTTGAACTCATCAATTTTGATGTCTTTTAGTGCTATGCCATTTTTTGTTTCACTTCTTTCACAGTGGCAAAACGTTTCCCTTTGAGGACTTTTTCATCCAAGGAAACAAAAAACGTTGCCTGAGGCAGGATCAGGTGAGAGGGAGGGTGGGGCACAGGGGTCATGCCTTTTTTTGGTTCAAAACTGCTGAACACTTAGCACTGTGTCACGGTGGAGGCATGCTGTCATGGTGGAAGAACCAGTCACCTGTTTGCCACAACTCAGGGCATTTCTTCCACAAATCATGATGCAACCTTCTCTAAACTTCCAGATAAAAACTTTGGTTGATCGTTTGATCTGGAGGAGCAAATTCCGAGTATACTACAAGGCACCGGCCCTCCAAAAGTTAATTCTGCTTTTTCTGAGGGAGATTCTCCCCTTGTATATACGTATATAAAATGCTTCCAGGTAAGATTTTGCCCAAAAAATTCTGAGGTTTAAAATAATTTTAAAATAAATATAACATATATATATATAATAACATATACAAAGCAACTAGAGAAATGTTAAAAATACGTGCTATGTGCCTGGTACTATGCCACAGATATGTATTTATGCATCTCTCTCTCACACACACACACACTCTCTCTCACTTTTTTCCTCTTGTTTAACTTTAATTAAATGCTCAAAAATATATCAACTAAATTTCAATTTATTGGTTAACTAATATATCGATTTCTGGTAAATTTTCATCCTGAAAAGCATTAAATGTAACCAATACTTACCTCTCAATCTTCAGATAGGCCATAGCTCTGTTAGCTGGAAGAAGGGCATTAGCACCATCTGCTGCTATCCCTCGAGTATAGCATTCTATTGCTCTTTCATATTTCCCCTCTTTGAAAAATCCATTCCCCTATTATTTTGGAAAGAAATATGAAGAATTTTTAAAAATTCAGAAAAAAAGTAACTTAATTCAAATTTTATGAAACACTACAAGAATATTCATCAACAGTATTTCAGAAAGGAATACTTTAATTGTCAAAAATCCAGTCTGTGAGACATGTCTTAGGATCTGCTAGTTTGGGTTTTTTTAATGGTGTTCTCTTTTCAGGAAAAAAACAAAAAAAAGCATGTCACTTTGCAGCATTCATTATTATTCTAATCACCAAACATGCAAAGCTTAAATTTAAAAATATATTTTAATAAGGGTCCCAAATGTTATACTAAGTCTTTAGTTATATAAGAAGCTGTACAAAGTAATTTAATAACTCAATTTTTGTAAAAAAAACACAGTACTAGAAATGTACCAACCACTCATTAGTAAATTAACATGCCTAAATATAAGAAAAATACAATGGTATTGGGATTTGTATACCTGATTTCTTTTTTTTCTTATGTTGTTATTTATTTGTGTATTATGGCTTAAGTTGTTAAGAAAGAAGTTTTACACAAATGAATATGCTACACTAAAATAGTGACTTAACTGTCACATTCCATGCTTAAAATTAAGTGGACAGAAACAACACAAATAACCATCAAGATTAAAATTAATAAATCAATAAATATCCACAAAATGGAATAATAGTAATGAAGATGAATAAACAGTTGCTATGTGCAATAACATGATAAATCACAAGCATAATATTGAGTAAAAGAAGGCATGTACAAAAAAATACATAATAATTTTACTTATATAAATTCAAGAAAGCAAAAGTCAGACTTCAGGACAGAAGTGAAGATCATGGCCACATGTTAGAGGTGGAAGGGTACAGTGACGAGGAAGGGGCATGAGAGTGGCTCCAGGGTTATTCCTGTTCTATTGTATACCTGATTTCACAGTAACATTTACTTATAATCAGAGTCAGACATATCCAATCAATAAACAATTCATAAGTAGGACTTCTCTGTAGGTTCAGGAAAGGAGAGATAGATATAAAATTAATCTCCTCAACTCAAGATTTACAAAGGAATTTCAATCAGAAATAATTTTAAAAGGACATTACAAGAATGGATTGCAACTTACCTATTAAATTTATAATGATGCATATGTCAAAACACTCAAATATTTCTATAATTATGTTTTTTAAACATGTATACATTAAGTCATCAATTATTCAAATTTGCAATTTGTAGGCTCCAGAGGTTTTAGTGTATGTAATTCCCTGTTCTTATTCAAGAAGAATTTTAACACTGCAGAAGATAGAAACTTAATATAAAAGAAACTAAGAGTAAATAAACACTCAGCAAAACATATACATAATATGTTGGCATGCCTTTGAATTACCCGATCTTTCTCTGACAAGGCTTGCTGTTTATTCTGTTGTGCTTCAATTTGTTGTTTCTCTCCTTGAGTTGATTTAATCATTGTGTCAGTTTCCTTTGGACATGAATTTTCTTTGGATGTTAAAGCCTAAAAGACATGCAGTCAGCTAAAATAAAACAAGTAATACAAGATGCATATATATTTTACCTTAAAATGTAAATTATCAAATGTTAGAATTTGTGCCACATTTCAAATTAATGACTAACATTTTCTACTCTAATTCAAAATCTGCCTATTAGAGCAAAAAAAGTGTATAACAAATTTAATGTGCTTCTTATTTCAATTAAAATAAGTAGTATCCACTAAAGGCAGCTGTTCTTTCATTTATTTATTTACTGAACTTCTACGCAGGCCAGGGACTGTTCTAGGAGCTGTTCTCAAACATAAAACACTTAAGACCACAACATGAAAAATCTCAAATTAAGTAGTCATTTTTAACCTAAGATACAAAACAAAAATATACATAATGAAGTTCACAATTATAATTAAGTTGACATTTTTACCAACAGATTTTATGTGTGAAAAGCAATGGTAATACTTAAAAACAGATTTTCACTAATCACTGTCATTTTTTCCTCATTGTTTCAACAATGGCAAAACAATTATAACTGACTCAAAGGCAAAGTGAAAGGAATATGTAATTGCTACAGTATCACAAGACAATTTTACATTTAAATAATAACTATTTCCTTGCTGTCAAAAAATTAGTGCTGTCTTTGCTAAGATACGAGCTATAAAGATAGAGCAATTTAAACATGAAAATAATCAAAGATATACTAAAGTTTTGTACAAAAATCAGTGCACAAGCCAAAAAAGAAAAATCAGTGGGATAAAAAAATTTCATTTTGTCAACTTAAGAAAGTAAAGCAGCAGTAGTTCTAAAGATGTCCACTTTTAAAAATGATTGGTTAAGGATCTTTAAATACCATTACATTACCTCTAGCTTGCAAATTCATTTTGTAAAACTCTATAGTACAAATAATTAAAATCAGAAAATTTCTACATTAAGAAATCTATAGTACATCTATGCAAAAAGCTTTACTTGGTCAAATTAAAAGTCATGAGTTACATAACTATAGTTTACCTGATTAATTTTCCTAAGTTCATTCGTTGCTTCAAAGTTATTTGGTTCCAGTTCTAATACTTTTTCATAATCTAAGCAAAACAGAAGTAAAGAATTTTTGAAAGATATATGATATTTTAAACATACAAAACAATAATCATTTGCTGCATGTGACAAATAGGCAAATGTCCTATAGCAAAACAGAGGAACAAAGAAATACTAACATTAGACCACTAGACTTTCCTTATTCTCCCCCAGAGCAGACAAAATCCTGACAGAATCCTGTGACAGATTATCTTCCTCCAGCAGATTCAGGAAGGATACTTGCTATCTTAAAGCCGCACATCATAAAACAAAGCAGCAGTGATTTGAAGGCTTAAAGTGTACAAATTTAAAAAAATGGCCTCACAAAAGTCAACAATCCCTAGTTTACAGATGAGAAACTAAAAATCAGAGAAGATACTAGTCACACAGCCAGTACTTGGTAAAAAGAGAATTTGAATCAAACTCAGATTGGTAGTGAATAACACATTCTTTCCCAAAACATAAGATAGATAGATAGATAGATAGATAGATAGATAGATAGATAGATAGATAGATTTTTTTTTTTTTTTTTTTTTTTTTAAGAGACAGGGTCATACTCCATCATCCAGGCTGGAGTGCAGTGGCATGATCATGGCTCATTGTAGCCTCAAACTCCTGGGCTCAAACAGCCCTTCCACACCTCAGCCTCCTGAGTAGTTAGGACTTCAGGCACATGCTACCAAGCTCACCTAAGATATCTTTTAAATTGCAAAAATGAGCTTTGTTCAAATACAGAAAGCCCTCTGAAGGTAGTAACTGGGATTGCTTAGTATTCTTTATATAATATACCATCTATTAAACAGTTAAAAGAATTTTTTAGATAATAATGACTAGCAAATACCTTTTTTGGCATCCTCTAATTTTTGCAAAGCAAATCGAGCAGCACCTCGTCTGGCATAAGCCTTTGTATAACTTCTATTCAAGGCAATCGCTAAATTACAATCAGACTCAGCAACAGCAAACCTGCAATTTAGGAAAATTAAAATAAATAAAGTTAATAAAAATCATTTATTAAACTAAAACTTCAAGATCTGTTTCTGAAACCCTTGAAAAGGAAATTTACTTCTCAACTGAAGACATTTCTCCCACCTCCTCTTAGTTAATTAAGCCTAATAAAAGCATTACAGGCATACCTCGAAGATACTCCAGGTTTGGTTCCGACCACTGCAAAAAACACATGTCAAAATAAAGCAAGTCACATGAATTTTCTGGTTTTCTAATGCATATAAAAGTTATGTTTACACTACACTGCAGTCTATTAAAGTGTGCAATATCATTATATTTTTTAAAATACATATGTTAATTTTAAAATATTTTATTGCTAAAAAAAACCAAAAAACTAATAATCATCTGAGCCTTCTGTGATTCATAATATTTTTGCCTTGTGTTGATGGCTGCTGACTGATCAGGGTGATGGCTACTGAAGATTGGGACAAGTATGGCGATTTCTTAAAATAAGACAGTGAAGTTTGCTGCATTGATTGAATCCTCCTTTTACAAAAGATTTGTCTGTAACATGCAATGCTGTTTGACAGCATTTTACTCACAGTAGAACTTCTTTCAATATTCAAGTCAGTCCTCTCAAACCTGCCCTCCTTTATCATCTCAGTTTATGGAATTTTCTAAATCCTTTGTTGTCATTTCAACAGTGTTCACAACATTTTCACCAGGAGTAGATTCCATACCAAGAGACATCTTCTTTGCTCTTCCATGAGAAGCAACTGTTTATCTGTTCAAGTTTTATCATGACCTTGTGGCAGTCACATCCTCCACTGACACCTTGAATCCCTCAGTCATCCATGAGGGCTGAAATCAACTTCTTCCAAACTCCTGTTAATGCTGATATTTTAACCTCCTCTCATGAAACACAAATGTCCTTAATGGCCTCTAGAACACTGAATCTTTTCCAGAAGGTTTCCAATTTACTTTCCCAAATCCATCCAGGGAATCCCTATCTATGGCAGCTAAAGCCTTGTAAAATGTATTTCTGAAATAAGAATGTCAAAATGATTCCTTGATCCATGGGCTGCAGAATAAATGCTGTGTTAGCAGGTATGAAAACAACATTCACCTTATACACCTCCAGCAGAGCTCTTGGGTGACAAAGTAGATTGTCAATAAACAGTAATATTTTTAGAGAAATCTTTTTTTCTAAGCAGTACGTCTCAACAGTGGCCTTAAAATATTCAGTAAACCAGGAGATAAACAGATGTGCTATCATCTAGGTTCTCCTATTCCATTTACAGAGCACATGCAGAATAGATTCAGCATAATTCTTAAGAGTCCTAAGATTTTCAGAACAGTCAATGAGCACTGGCTTCAACTTAAAGTCATCAGCTGCATTAGGCCCTAACAAGAGAGTCAATCTGTCCTTTGAAGTTAGGCAGTGACTTCTCCCTAGCCATGAAAGCTCCAGATACCATCTTTTTCCAACAGAAGGCTATTTTATCTTTACTGAAAATCTGTTTAGTGTAGTCACTCTCATCAATGACCTCAGCTAGACCTTCTGGAAAACTTGCTGCAGCTTCTCCACCAGCACTTGCTGCTTCGCCTGTACTTTCACGTCGTGCAGACAGTGCCTGTCCTTTAACCTCCTGAACCCACCTCTGCTAACCACGAACTTTCTTTCCGCAGCTTCTTCAACCCTCTCAGTCTTCAGAGTCAGGACTCTGATCTGGATAGAACATTGGCTATTTCGCTTTCTTATCATGGGAGTGTTCAGTGGACTAGCACTTTTATTTATTTATCTATTTATTTTGGAGTAGCGCTTTTAATGTCTTTTAAGAACTTTTCCTTTGCATTCACAACATGGTTAAATGGCACAAGAAGCCTAGCCACTGGCCTGCCTCGGATTTTGACATGCCTTTCTCACTAAGTTTAATCACTTCTAGTTTTTTATTTAAAGTGAGAAATATGCAACTTCATCTTTCACTTGGACATTGAGAAGCCACTGTAGGGTTATTAATCAGTCTAATTTCAATATTATGTCTCAGGGAATGGAGAGGGCGAGAGACAGAGGAGCAGCTGATTGGTGGAACAGTCAGAACACACTCAACACTTATCAGTTAATTTGCCATAATATATGGGCATGTTTCATGGTGCCCCAAAACAATTACAATAGAAACATCAAAGATCACTGGTCACAGATCACCATAACATGTAATAATAATGAAGAAGTTTGAAAATCCATGAGAATTACCAAAACGTGACAGAGAGACATGAAATGATCACATGTTGTGGGAAAACTTGAGACTTGCTTGATATAGGGTAACCTGCAACTTATAAAAATGCACTATCTGTGGAATACAATAAAGTGGCACACAATAAAATGAGGTATGCCAATTTTTTTTTTTTTGGTCAGTCTCATTCTGTCACCCAGGTTGGAGTGCAGTGGCACACTCATGGCCACTGCAGTCCCTACCTGCTGGGCTCAGGTGATCCTTCCACCTCAGCCTTCCAAGTAGCTGGAACTACAGGCACATGCTACCACGCTTGGCTTATTTTTTTATTTATTAAAGAGATAAGGTCTCACCAAGTTGCCCAGGCTGGTCTCGAACCCCTGAACTTAGGCAATCCTCTCATCTCAGCCTCCCAAAGTGCTGGAATTACAGGCTTGAGCCACCACGCCGGGCCACCTAGATTTCTTTTTTTTTAATTGTAGAGACGAGGTCTCACCAAGTTGCCCAGGCTGATCTCAAACCCACAGGCTCAGGCAATCCACTAGCCTCAGCCTCCCAAAGTGCTGGAATTACAGACTGAGTCACTGAGCCCAGCCTCGCCTAGATTTCTTAATGGCAAAATGTTAACAGCATTTCCTTTAATGCGAGGAGCAAGAATGTCCATTACCAATGCTTTCCCTCAGCACTATACTAGAGGTCCTCACCAACACAGCTCCATAAGAAAAAAATACATGGTTAAAAAGACTAGAAACACCCGCCTGGGCAGCGAGACCTCATCTCTACAATAAATCAAAAAATCAGCCGGGCATGGTAGCGCATGCCTGTAATTCCGGTTACTCGGAAGGCTGAGGCGGAAGGATCGCCGGAACCCAGCAGGTCGAGGCTGCGGTGGCCGGGAGCGGCCACTGCACTCCAGTCTGGGTGACAGAGTGAGACTCCAACTGAAAAAAAAAAAAAAAAAAAAAAACTAGAAACAAAGGAACAAAACTGACATTATTCTCAGATGATATGATGGTCTACAAAGAAAACTCAAAACAGGTAAACTAAGCACTTTGGGAGGCCAAGGCAGGAGGACTGCTTGAGCCCAGGAGTTCAAGATCAGCATGGGCAACAGTGAGACCTCGTCTCTACAAAAGGAAAAAAAATGAAGATGGGCAACTAGAGGCAGCTAGAGTGTGTTTCTCCTATGGAATAAATCTAGATACCGAGAGCTTCCTCAGTACCCAGAGAGAAGCAGGACCAGCAGCAACCCTACAACTCATCAAAGAAGTGATAATAGCCACACAGTGCAAAAAAGAGAAAAATCAGTCGATCTGGGTTGGAACTGGCCAGTCTCTTAACTGGATTACCGCAAAGACCACTGGCAGCCTCCAGATGCAGTGAAGGTGAGTGAAAGGAATTCAGGAATTCTATGCTGCTGCCTCAGACTTGGAGGACCCCTAGAGCTTTGTGGGACTCCAATCCCTCACAAGCAGCTCCAGCTGCCATATGAGAGAAACTCAACCCTTTGCAGGTCACTGTTTTCTAGTCAGCCTGGGAGGAGATGGTCCCCAAGGGCAGCCTGCTGTGAGAATGCCTGAGGCCAGCTATACTTTGACATTCAGAAAGCAGACTGCTTGAGGCTAAGGCAGGAGCATAGCAACCTCTTACTCCCAAGGCAAACTCTTACTCAGCTAAATTTTTTATTGTTTTGCAGAGCCAGAGTCTCTCACCATGATGCCTCAGCTGGCCTTGAACTCCTGGGTCAAGTAATCCTCCTGCCTCATCCACCTGCCTCATCCTCCCAAAGTACTGGGATTACAGGCATGAGCCACCAACAGCCTACCCATTATTAAAGGTTGTTTTAAAAAATCGGTCTCCATATACACCTATGACATTCACATGTTATGGAAATTCCTTACTTCTTCAATCTAAAGTATGCTGATGCTCTGTTTGTTGGCAACACAGGATTATACGGATCAGCATCCATTCCTTTTGTGTAGCACTCAATCGCTTCATCATATTTTCCTTGTTTGAAGTATTTATTGCCCTGAAAGAAAAGATAATTAAGCAAAATGGTTTTTTGGGGTTTTGGTTTTTTTTTTTTTTGCAAGTGCTGAAATTTACTACAATTGACCCTTTGAACAACACAGATTTAAACTGTATAAGTCTACTTAAACATGAATTTTTTTTCAATAAAAATTACACTGACCCGCCTGGGCAACTTGGGGAGACCTCATCTCTACAATAAATCACAAAGTCAGCCAGGCGTGGTAGCGCACGCCTATAGTTCCAGCTACTTGAAAGGCTGAGGCGGAAGGATCACCGGAGCCCAGCAGGTCGATGTTGCGGTGCCCGCGGCGGCCACTGCACTCCAGTCTGGGCGACAGAGTGAGACTCCAACTCAAAAAAAAAAAAAAAATTACACTGAATATGTCTGCCTCTCCTGCCTCCTCTTCTAAGGCCTCTACCATCCTGAGGCAGCAAGACCAACCACTCCTCTTCCTCAGCCTACTCAATGTGAAGATGATAAGGATAAAGACTTTTATTGTGATCCACTTCCACTTACTGAATCGTAAATTTATTCTGTTCCTTACAATTTTCTTAATAACATTTTCTTTTCTTGGGCCTACTTTACTATAAGAATACAGTACATGACTCACATAACATATAAAATATGTGTTAATCAACTGTTTATGTATTGGTAAGGCTTCTGGTCAACAGTAAGCTATTATAAGTTTTCGGGGAATCAAAAGTTATACACAGACCTCTGACTACCTGAGGAGTCAGCACTCCTAACCCCCACACTCTTCAAGTGTCAAATATATACAATCTTTGGATGAGACAACTCAAGAGTCCTGGCAGAAAAATAAGTAAAATACCCAGCATTATACCTTTTATTGACAATACCAACCCATAGAAATATAACCAAAAAAAGGCATCAAGATGAAGTTTAATTTGAAAAGAATTCCATCTTTGTAAAAGCAATACTACTGGTTTTATAATAACAAGTCATCCCTCAGGAAGATACTGAACACTCCAAAAAGTAACCAGGTCAGGCACGTTGGCTCATACCTATAATACCAGCACATTGGGAGGCCAAGGCAGGAAGATTGCTTAAGCCCAGGAGTTTGAGACCAGCCTAGGCAACACAGCAAGACCTCATCTCTATAAAAAAATTTTTTAAATGAGCTGAGTGTGGTGGTACACACTAGTAGTCCCTGCTACTCAGGAGGCTGAGGCAGAAGGATCACCTGAGCTCAGGAGGTTGAGGCTGCGGTGAGCCATGACAGTGCCACCACATTTCATCCTGGGCAACAGAGTGAGACTCTGATTTTAAAAAAAAAAAGTAACCAAAGATGGCAAGAATCACACACTGACTTCAAGTTACTTCAGTCTACTACTAAAAGACCTTAACAATCCCGGTTATAGTCCAAGCAATTTACATATAATAGCTCACTTAATACAATTACCCAATGGGGTTTAATATTATTAATCTCATCTTACAGCTAAAGAAAACTGAGGTACAGAAAGTTCAAACAGCTTATCACAAATGGGAGCCCAAGTGATGTGGTCCCAGAGCTGTACTCCTACCACCACGGCATAATGCCTCCTGAGAGGGACAGAGTCAGAAACAACATAAAGTCTGGACACTCCCTAAACTATGCCCAAGAGCTTTTAGGATCTACATGATTCTCTACATAGCCTGCTTACCTGAAAAAAATCTAAAGCAAAACTCAAGAGTACCTTTTCTTTTAAAACAAGAGCCTTCTGTGAATCTACATGAATTCCATCTTCTTCTGACTCTGATTCTTGAGACACAGAATCATGGGTACTATCTTCTTTGTCAAGCTCATCAAGGATACTGTCCTGAAATCAAAAGTAGGAGAACCGTGTTTATAACATGACGGGGGGGG